ATTCTCCACTATATTTATGTTGATTGGGATATTCTTGGTGAATATTGGAGAATGAAAATAATTTGGAAAGAAAATATTTTTGAAAAATCCAAAAAAAAAAGGGTGTTGAGAAAAGATTTTATTGAGCAATGACAAGAGTCAGATTTGATGCCATTGTTGATGTTTTGGTTATGGATTAATTTGACGTGGGGACATTTCAGTCCTACATTGGATTTTGAAAAATTTCCAGGCTTTGTGACGTTGCACAAATCATTCTTCATGTTACGAAGTTGTTACTGCAACAAAATTGATGCCGAATCAACCTAATTTGCTGTTGTTGTTCATGTTGGTGCTGCTGCTGCTGATGTTGATGTTGATGTTGCTGCTGCAAGCATTTTTCAGCGGACCAAATGAAAAAGGAATTCGTGAAAATGGAACAAGTGAAATTGTTTGTGAAGCAACTGAAATTCTTGATGATATTGTTGGAACAGTTTCAGGTGACGGTTATAAAGTTGCTGCTGCAACCATTTCTCAACAAAGTGAGGATGTTTTTTAAGGTTTATGTTCTTTTTGTCAAATGCTCCCACGAGGGGGAGTAATGCAGGAAAATGGGATATCATATTTTCAAGGGGAGTTGCCCAAGTTCTGATGTTGTCTGCTTTGCTGATTATCGATTTTATCTACTGCTATTTTCATTGGAAGTCCGAAGTGATTAAAACCATATCAATTTGAAGGTTGTCTGTAGCCTTTTTATGTTTGTTGACATGTAATAGTTGAACTTACTCTTGGATGATTAAGTGCCTAAGTAGGTTAATTCTTCCACTTTTATTCGTGGTTTCATATGCCAAAACGGGGGATAATGTGAATGGAAATTCTCTTAAGTTATTTTGACATATCAACTAATGGTGTCTTAATTTTTGTAGCAAAGACTTTCCAAAAAACAAAAGACATATTTGAGGAAAGATCAAAACATGAAAACTCATTCCTTCTATTTCGATGTAAAGAAAAATTAATGTGGAATATTTTATTCCAGGAATGTGAGTGATTTGAAGAAAAATACTTTTATTATCATAGAAAAATGAGTAATATATATATATATATATAATTTGTTATAAGATATTATTTAGATCCCTCTTCTCCTACGCTATTTATTATTATTTTTTTTTGGGTAGCGATAGCTACTTGCATTATTAATTGTGGTCTATTTATTTATTTATTTTTGGGTAGTGATAGCTACTTGCATTATTAATTGTGGTCTTTTCTTATATTATCCTATTTCGACTACCGTACCCCACATTAATTTAATGACTATAAAATAATCCTGATATGAATTATAAATTGTCGAATTGTACTATACATATATATATATATATATATTTGATTAGTTGTGGCATTATTAAACACGTTCCCATTTATATAACTTCAATTTATTTTTAAATACATGAAATCATTAGAACAAAATATGATAGGTGGTTAGGTGCCATATCACCTACCACATAAATCTATACTTTCCTTTTTATTTTATGTTATTTTTATGATGGGAGATCCAGAGATAATTGAAAAAAATATTTCACATTTATACTATATTATCATTTTTATCATATATTTATCTCGTAAAAAAAATATATTCAACGTGTTTACTAAATTCGCTATTTGTGTCATTTGCCCCATGTGCGGCCAAATGATAGAAATAACGACTTTTGCAAACAGGTGGGATATATTTTGTCAGTGAGATAAATACAAAACAAAAATGATAATAAGGTATATATGTAAAATAATTTTTACAATTTTCTCGATCGAAGATTTTTTTTTTATTTATATGCTGAGCTGTGTTCATTTTGTGATTTTTATAATTATATTTTTTTTATGATAGATATGATAATAATATCAATAATATAACAATAAAATATTTTGTATTAAACATTTGATTTTTTGTGAGTAGATACAATATATATAATGTATTATCGTGTATATATATATTGTATTTTAATAATATTTATAATAGATCGTATCACAAAAAATTGTTGGGTAAACAAACTTTTTTGTTGTTGGATATAAAAAGAACGGAGGCTTTCTTTGCTGATTGGTGTTAATTTGATCCGATCAATATATATAGGGGTAAACTGTTTTTAGCCCTGTAATTTAGACACATTTATCATTTTAGTCCTATAATTGAAGTGTCGCAAATTAGTTCTGTAAGTAAAAAAATTTCGTAGTTTTAATCTTCCGGTGTCGGAGATGTCTGCATGATATCCGCGTGGCTCTCCGGAGGCCACGTATACGCTAGTCAGCGACACCTCGTGAACACGTAAATTATTTATTTATTTTTTTAATTTATATATTTTTTATTTTTTGTATTTGGTCCGGTCCAATTTTAAAAATAAAAGACAACATATATAAATTAAAAATATAAAATCCATATGTCCTCATGTCACACTTCACACTTTGATATTATGCAAAATAACCATAGCAACATTAACTACATATCCTCTCTTTTATTATAAAATTATTTTTGAATTGCGATACCCAAAACTAAAATACAAATTATTTTATAGAAAATTGAAAAAGTTTCAAATACTTATTTACAAAAAGTCAAAAAGTAAAAGAAAAATAAAAAAATTCAAATACTCAGTAAAAACTCAAAAAATAAAAAAAAAATACTTCAATACTCATTAAAAAGTCAAATATTATAACTCAAAATAATATATTTTATATTTTGATACAATTTCTCATATCACACATACAAATATATATTATTTAAAAATATTGGGTAAACGGAGCAATTGTAATATTTACTTTTATATCATTTAAAACCAATAAATGGTATAATTTCTAAAAGAAAACAATCACTCTTTGAAAAATGAATTAATTTTTAATAGTAGATTATATCTACTTTTTACATACATAAATTATCATTTATTTTTTTGAAAATATAATTATACACTTTAATTATATTTTAAATTTCATAATTTTATTAAATTATTTGGTTATCTTAATTTATAATTATTTTTATTATATTATAATTATTGTTAATAATATATATTTTTAGTTATTTAATAATTATATATTATCTAAAATATAGTACTCCCCTCGTCTCAATACAATAATCTTATTTACCATTTTTATCCGTTTCAAAACAATAGTATCGTTTATATAAATAATCATATTACTATAAAACTACCCTTACTTTTTCATTATTATTATCACTACTTTTTACACTAATACACTCACAACGGCAAAAAAGTCTTTTGCCGATACTTTTATCCACTACCAATATAATATCAATATTTTTTAAATCTCGTATCAAACACAACCCAAACTATAATTTTAGGACGAATAAAGTATTAAAATAATATGATCATATTACATGAAATTAAAAGAATATTAGAAACAAACAAAAAGAAAAGAGAGTATTAAAGTAATATAGTCATATTAAAACTTCAGATTCTCATATCAATTTTTTTTTAAAAAAATAGTATTTATTTTTATTTTTTTATACATATAAAAGGATGTAATTAGTTGGGGGAGGGGCAGCCCCTTGCCCTTGAACGAGAGTTCCCAAGCGGTTAAAAATGATTTATTTTTTTAATATTTTAATCAAATTCAATACTATTTATTTAACATAATTTTTAATAAAAAAGATTAATTTTTTTTTAAAAAAAAATTAAATCAAAATTATATTAAAACAATAATTTAAATTTATATTTTATTTTCAAATCAATTTCAAATCATAATAAAACAAATCATATTTTTGTTTTGCCATAGCCGTCTCCAACTTTTTCGGGGTCCTGAATAAAATAAATTATAGGCTCTATAAATATATAATTAAATATATATTTAAAATAATATCACTGGTATTGGTTTCAGGTGAAAAATAAAGGTTACTTGAAGGCAGAAATTTGATGGTGTTAATTAAGAAAAAAAAAAAAATAGAAGGCAGACCAGTGCTTCACGGTTGTGTCCGAAAGTTCAGAGAGAGGGAGGATCGAGGGAGGGAGAAAGAGAAAAAAGAGAGCGGCGATGCGGCGCGGAAGGTGTTGGCGACGGAGTGAGACTTAGTTAGCTAAAAAGAGATAAGAAAAATATATGATTTAAAATTTAATTTTTAAAATTAAAATTAAATTGAATAATTAAGAAAAAAATATAAATTAAAATTTAAAATTTAACAATAATATACTAACTTTTTAAAATATGAGCTTTTTTTTTGAATTATTGATCCTGAACAATTACTCACTCTACTCCCGCTAAGAACAATAGTGGGTTTTGCTGGCATTTATAGTGCAAACAATATATATAAACTGGTGGCAACAAATTGACACTCCAAAAGCAATAATCATAAAGAAATGTAGCCGTTTTCACCGGATGAAAGCTCTTATTCACCATCGATTCACATGCAACACGAAGATGCAGTAAGAGAAGAATTCAGAAGTTTTAAATGAATTCTATGTAATGTATAATATTATATGTTAAAAATTAATTTATATTTGTTAAACATATTTAGAATTAATAAAATTTACCAAATATATAAAAATTCTATTTATTACAAGACAAAATAAAATGAAAAAGAAGAAAAAAGAAAAAAATTCATTTGTTATGGTACAAAAGAAAATACTATTTAATCTTCTTGGTTTTAATGTAAGTATTTTATTTTGTCTGTCAAAATTATGATATTAAAATACTATCTAAGTCTAAATTTAAATAAAAAATTGAAATAAAATAAAATCAAATTCTTGATGAATACCTTAGGGGGTGTTTGTTTAGAAGATTTCGAAGGATTTTAACTATTTATAAGATTATTCCAAAACATCAAATCAAATATTTGTTTTTTATTTTTTATATTATACTAAAAATTAATTTTATATTCAAAATATCACATAACACCTATTTATATCACATCATACAATTATTTAAATTAAAAATTTTTACATTTCAAATCCAAACTCAAAATCCAAATTCTCAAACAAACACACCCATTAAGAGTTTGTTGGAGGTTACAGCTATGAAGTTCATTAACTATATATATATATATGATAGTGTAAGTGATTCAAAGTCACGGCAGCAATTTACTCACCAAATTAAAACCTTCTTCTACAAAATCAAATCACGAAGAAATGTCGTGGTCGAATGAAAGCTCTTATTCGCAGCCAATATACATGCAACAAGAAGATGCAATAAAGGAAGAAGAATTGAAGACCTTCGTCTCCACTCTGCCACATAAGAAGACGCATTTTGGACCCTCCATCTACCAGTACCAAGGTTTCTGGTATCCTCTCAGCATCCTTTCTGGTGTAATGAATTTCCAGCGCAACTTCCATTCTCAATCTTCCGACATCTTCACCATAACTTTCCCCAAATCAGGCACCACCTGGCTGAAATCGCTCCTCTTCACTCTTTCCAACCGCCGCCAATTCCCCGTCAACGACGCAAACCACCCAATTCTTACCGCCAATCCACACCAGCTCGTCCCGACACTTGAAATCGCTCTCTACATCAAAGATCAAAACCCTAATTTGGACCACCTGCTTTCTTCCCCAAGGCTTCTCGGCAGCCACTTGCCTTGGACTGTTCTTCCCGAACCTATCAAGAACTCATCCACCAATAAAATCGTGTACCTGTGTAGGAATCCTAAGGATGTGTTTGTGTCCTTATGGCACTATGAAAACCAGTTAGTGGGCCCAAACAAGATGGGTCTGGATTCTTTCAAGAAGTCTTTTGAATCGTTTTGCGAGGGGTTGAATCTATCCGGACCATTTTGGGATCATATCCTAGATTACTGGAAAGAAAGCAAGAAGAATCCTGGTAAGATATTTTTTCTAAAATACGAGGATATGAAGGAGCAGCCCGGATTGCATCTGAGGCGCCTGGCGGAGTTCCTCGACTGTCCGTTCTCTAGCGATGAAGAGGAATCTGGTCTGGTGGAGGATATTGTGAAACTTTGCAGCTTTGAGAATCTGAGCAATTTGGAAGTGAACAAGAACGGGAAAGTATCACAGACAGGTATGCTATGGACAGTGTTAGATCTTATTTTATTTTTATTATTGGTGTCGCAATATATAAATTTAAAACAAATATAAATTAGAAAACTGGATTTATTAAAGAACAATAATAATATAATATTATTTTTATATATTTATATTTTATAAATATATATTAATTATTTTAATTGGATTGAATTTTAATTTTTTAGGTATTGATATAATTTTAAATTTTAAATAGTTCACATAATTTATTTTTTTCCGATAACGATGCAATTTCAAATTTCTAACCAAAACAATACAATTTTTTTTAGTGTTAACATAATTATTTAGTTATAACTTTATTTTTTTTATGAAATAAAACTACTGTCGGCACGTGTCACCACACTCCAACATGTAAATCTGTCCCTGCAGGTATGCACAATAGTGCTTTCTTTCGTAAAGGAAAAACTGGAGACTGGAAAAGTCATCTGTCGGAGGAGATGATCCTAAAGCTCGATGGAATATGCAACGACAAGCTTGGTGGATTCGGAATAGGATTAGGATTAGGATACTAATCCGAATTCCCACTTTATCAAAAATATTATGTTGAAGAATAATGTGGTGTTAGGTAAAATAAGTATGGTCAAGTGTTAGTCTTAACTTACTAAGAACTTTGGGTTATTCTAGACAATTAAAGTTGTCTTATTTCCCATGTTCAAGTATTAAGTGTGGTCAAGTATTAAGTCTTAACTTGACTAAGAACTTTGGGTTATTGTAGACAATTAAAGTTGTCTTATTTCCCATGTTCAAAGTATAAGTGTGGTCAAGTGCTAAGTCTTAACTTGACTAAGAACTTTGGGTTACTCTAGACAATTAAGGTTGTCTTATTTCCCAGGTTCAATTAAGTATTTTATCATATTTTTCATTTAGAATAAGTGTGGACAAGTGTTAGTCTTAACTTGACTAACAACTTTGGGTTATTCTAGACAATTAAAGTTGTCTTCTTTCCCATGTTCAATGAAGTAAGTTATTGTATTTTTCCTTAAATGAGTGTGATAGATCTATCAACGTGTGAAAAATAAATCATCCATGTTCCATATAACTCTTACTTTGCCTTTTCTCGTTTGATTCATTCAAATCTATTGCCTAATATTAATAAATTTTAAAGACAATCATGGCTATTGTTCCGATTTAAGTTAGTATAAGCTTTAACATATAAGTGTCTCAAATTTATGTTTATTTCGTAAAAATACTTTGAATGGATATATTCTTAAGTGAAATATAAGAAATTATATCGATAATATAAAAATAATGAATGTTTGTAATGAATTATTTTTTAAAAAAAAATGTATGTAAAATTATACAAAAAGAACAGTCAAATTAAATTAAAATAAATTTCAAAAAAATAAATAAACGTGAACACACAAGCATGTGAAAATATTGAATTGAATTCATACTATGATGAATGTATGAAGAAAAATGACTATTTATAATGGTTATTAATCCGTAACAAATATTCAATTTTCGTATAAAATAGTTTTTTATTTCAATTTTGTTGCGTAATTTGACCGGTACAGAAAATTGAATAACAAAAAGTATTTGTTGCGATAATTTTTGTAAAAAAATAAGATGGTGGTCAACACCTTTTAAAGGCACGTGAAAAAATTATTTATTTATTTTTGTAAAGAAACACTCGATCGAAAGGGCTAAAAAGGTCATGTACGAAAAAACCAACATACAAAGGTTGGCCCCATTGTGCAATACTCTAAGCTAGACGAGAACCTTGTACTTAAAAACCACGTCTATGATAAGTCGAGATAAAAGCCCAAACTCCAACTAGCAAGTTGGACTAGACACGCCTAATGAAAAATGGAAATTTGGGAGATCAATTGCATCTGTCGTAATCATATGCAAAAAATGCTAGAAATTTTTTTGTTACAAAATTAGTCCATTACAAAGACCTCTTGTGCATTACATAAACTTTTCATTACGACCTAAGAAAATAAGTCAATTACAACGCTATTTCTTACGTAATCAATTTCATGATAAATTGCTTAAAATGTATTTTTTCACAATAAATACAAAATTGTTAATTAAACTTACAAATGAAGGTGATCCAACAACATGCTAAAAATAGTAATACAAATCTATTACACCAACAATTGTGTCAAGTACGCATCAAACAACTACATAAATCTTATAATCCGAATATCAATAGTAAAATGCTAAATTATTAATCCAGTACAACCAACATTCAATCATCAGTCAAGGTATCGACATATCTATGGACATATATGCTCATGTAGCGACAACCTAAGGAGACGAAACTTAGGCGCGGAACCAACGACAATGAGTTGCTCATATTTTGCTCCATTAGAAACCACTGTTGTTGCTCTATGTTCGTCATGTGTTCATGGCAAGCAAGATCAGCTGCAAGGCTACGATCATCATCGTTAGTGGACAACAATTATTCACTGGGCAACGTTGACGCCAACATCTCCATCCCAAATATACGGTTCTTATTATCATGGAGGATCACACTCAGAACATCTCATCTATGTTGTAGTTATTGTCCCCAAGTTGGGACATTCCTTCTACCTCTATCATAACTTCTTATGTCGTGACATTTGATTTCAACAAATATTATAAAAATTATACAATGACAACATCTGTAATAATTTAAAATGTTAGCAAATATTTTGATTATTTTTGCTGCAGCTTAAAATAGTCACGAAAAAATTTCGTTACAATTTTTGTGACGAAATAGTCAAAAGACACGGAATATAAATATCTTGGATATTTTCGTTACATAAGCCGTTACTTTAAATAGTCATTGTTGAGATATGAAGCCTGATTATATCCTAAAATCTAGGGATATGATTTAGATATTATATTCTAGATTTTAGAGATATAATTTGGATATTATTGGCATAGGCTTAGCCTATAAATATCCATGTATTCTCACTTTAACGAGTGCCTGCGTACTTTATAGTAAAATTCTTGGCTTGGCAACACCCCCAGACGTAGATCATCGTGATCGAACTGCGCTACCAAATTCTTGTGTTCTTTTGTCTTTGTTATTTTATCTTAATTTTCTGGAAATTTTCGTAATAGTCATGGATATTGTTTGTAAATTTTTCTGCAAATATTACACAAGGAACAGTCAAAGCATAAATCTGTCACAAAATTATTCTCTATGACTTTTAATTATCGCGAATTAAAATCTGCGATAAGTTTTCGCAATTATCCATTTTTTTCTAGTAGTGTTTGTTTCGTCATTTCTCAAGATTCCGAATTGCATTTGGAACATGAAACTAATCAAATATGTAGTTACTTATTTTGAGGAGAAGAAAATAATACTAACCATCTTCTTTGGGGTTTCCATGAAAGAGCATGATCCCCGGTTCGAATATGCCTTACACGCTAAATTGTCCCAGTGTGTACTCTTTTTGCCATTCTTTGACTTATTTTGTTTTGCACTGCCGAAGCTCCTTTTCCACGCGGCGAGCACCGGGTGGGGAAAATGCATAGCCGCATTATTATCCTTCGCACATTTGATATCGTACATCAACTTATTTTACTCCACTTGTGCCCTTATATCAAACTTATTTAGGTATTGTTCCTATGAGCCGGACCTGACATGACGTAAATGTTCAAACCAAAAAACAAAAGAAATCAAAATTAATATTTTAAAAATTCACATAATTAATTGGCATACCTTCATCTCAGTCGCATACCATCGCCATGTCTATGCCATTACAGAGCCCACTTTCTCCCCTCCTCCGTACATTTCGATTTGCAAACAGTTTTTAAATATTTTGATACATTATGCGGCCAAAAGATGTAAGCATTACACAATTTACACAAGACTCACTACAAAAAATGGAATTTAGCTAAAAAACTTTTCGTAGCAAATGGTAATGAATTCATAGTTATACTCCGTTAGTAAAGGTCTTTAGCGATTAATATGACTTTCATAATAAAATATAAGTTTTTTGCAATAAGAATTAAGAAAAGAGATATACCTACGGAAATATAATTTCGTATCTAAAGCTCTTTTGCTATAAACTTAAAATTATAACAAAAGAGTTCTAACAACAAAATATGTATGATTTTTATAGCCAAAAGATTTTAGCTATGAAATATAATTTGTAGTTAAAATCTTTTTGCTATGATAATATAATTTTCTTAGAAAAAACAAATTTAGCGATGAAATTAATTTTACAGTACATAATTTACTTTTAGCGATGAAATTAATTTTTGTTTCTAACTAATACATTTTAACTACAAAACTATTTCGTAATTAAAAATATTGTAGCTAATTAAATACTTTTATGTAGTGACTACAATATGGATTTCGATGCTTATGAGAAGTCAGTCGACGAAAACATACATAGACTTTCACTTCCACACGGGTGTCGTCTTCCGCAGCCGTACCCAATTGAGATATAAAAACTTTATATACTTCAAATAAAACATTAAGTGTATCATTGATGATGCGGTAGCTTTTGCACTCTTAAGAGACAGAGCTTCTGCGGCATAACCTGCATAGCATGAATAGTTATAAATTTTGTTTTTGTTTGCATAAAAGACATTGAAAATGGTATGTCCTATTTACCTGATCCTCCTCGATCAAAGTCTCAGAATTCAGCTCATGTCGCTCCTCTTGCAATTCGGCCGGCCACAAAAACATTTGTGACCTTGCCACTTAGTGTTTAATTAAAATAATTAGATTGCAAAAATAAACACGATCCGAAAATTCAATTTAAACACGGTTCAAAAAATTGAATTTGAGCTTTAAAATTAGGCCCAAAATAATTTTGGACCGGGTAAGTATGATCAAATTGAAAAACTGTGATGGGTCTAGTCCTGTTCAAACCGGGCCATACAGGCCCAACCCAATTTATTAAAAAAATACTTTCTTTTCATAAATTTATTTTTATTTTTCTTTTTTTGTCGGTTTGTTAAATTTGTCCTATTATCATATTTGGAAAAAATTAAAAAATTAAAATTTAATTCAACACTTGTTTACTATTACTAATTTTATTACATTCTCTCTCCTTATTCTTTTTAATTACTAACTAAATTTTAAAAAATGGCGAACGAAAACACTAAAAGTTTTTTAAATATATCAATAAATATATGATAATACAAATATGTTAAAACAAAAACACAACAAAGCAGATGTAGCAAGTATTTATGTATGAAAATTTATGTTAGTATTTGTGTTTTAGATGTAAGTATTTTTTTGATTATGTATGAAAATTTATGTTAGTAATATAAAAAATAATATTTTTATTTAAATTTTTATTTTTATGAATAGATAAAAATATATATTATATATTGTATTAATGTGTATGTATTATATTTTTTTAATAATATATATAAAAAAATAGTTTCATCTAAAATGCTAAGTAAACATAATTACACTAGGCGAACCATGTGTGGCAAGTAGACTTGGAGGCGTCGAACGATTACAAATTTACTCCCCATAGCACCAAGTCATCCCTTACGGATTGTTTTTCTTATTTTAAATTTATTACCGTGATAGGTGCTCTAAGATGGTGGAAGATTATAGAGTACAAGATTACAAATTGTTAAATCTGTAATTTTTATTTATTTATTTATTTATTTTTGTAGTATTGACTAAATTTATATGTTTCAATTGTTAATTTAAACAATATTCGATGTGTTAATTTGTATATATATATATATATATATATAAGAAATTATTACTTTCTCCCTATGTTATAAATATATCCTAAAATTTTTTGTTATTCGTTAAAATTATGTATAATCGGTTTTAATACCAATGCTTAAATAAATAATAATTAATTTGCTATTATTTTTTTCAATTATTATCATATTTTATTAATTTTTTAATAAATTTTGTATAATATTTACCCAACTCTTATATTAAAATATCATTATGGCATAATTAGCTAGAACAAAGGAAGTATTATTTCTTGAAAAACATAAAATTCAAATAGTAAAATATGAGATATAAATTAAAAAGAAACACATATATTACTATAGGTATTTCTCTAGATTCTCCAATTTTATTTTTTTTTTATTTTTTTTAAGTATAGCATAAATACTGAT